AAGACTGTATCAACAATAATGACGCCCTCTACACCCGCGCAAACTCAAAATGGAGCAGCCATTAGCAACCTGTGCACCGTGACACCAATTCCCGTTTTGTTCAGAAAACACACGCTTGACGACGTTTTTTAAAACGAAGAAGATAAGCCCAAAATTGTAGTAACTCTTGGGCACAGATCTTGGACGGTCACAAAGTTATGGTGGCAAACATACCGATTATTTCATCAGTCAAATCGCCTTCTTTGAAGGATCGGTGTCTGCGTCTTATGGCGCTATTGTGGCTCGAAGATCGCTCACTGCCGAGCAAAGGTGGATGAGGCTTATGGAAAATGTGTACAAAAGGCCTGGAAGGAAATCCATAATTTTTACTGTGAGATTTAATCTCTAGATTTCAAAGGCCTCCGGCAACTTCAGACGTCTTCTTACCGACAACAAAGTAGCGAAACTCCACAGGGTTTCCGAGCAGCAGTTGCATGCTATCTATCTCAGTCGATGAAATGTAAACATGGGCGAAATCTAACTATTTCGACCTGCGCTGCCACAGAAAACTTGGGTGTTCAGCACCTTCACAAATCCATCCGCAAAAAGGTTCTGCACTTCAAATGAAGATTCCTCGTGACTGAATGGCGCCCTCTTCTCTCCGCAATAACTGAATCTTAGGTTACCTGAGGAAATAAAAACCTGCCGCTTAAGATTTTGTGCCCCATGTGTTAGGGGAGTACATGCAATGCGTTCTTACACCAGCAGAGAGAAAACCACCCTGAATTCGCAATCGTTCCGATCTTCTCGGAATGGGAACTTCAGATTATTCACAATTAGTGCGTTCTTCGGACACAAGGTTTAATGCGGATACCATAAGATCACCTACAAAGGATCCACTGGTATTCGAAACAGCAGGAGTGCCATTAGCAGACTTGCCTTTGATGCAGAACTCAACCTGGTCAATATGTCTCCGGTGACAAAAGAGATCATCCAAATTGAGAATAGTGATCATCGGTTTGCCATTTGATGAAAGTGCTATTCGTGTAGCAGGTCGTAAGTCATTAACCTTGAAAAATGTCACGCCAGCCGTTTTGGCACAGTCAGTATTTGTAAGCAACGAACGAGATTTAAACAGGCGCGCGGAACTATTGCCAGTAATGGTGTGAACGACATTCCTGTATTGCATTAAAAAATTATCAACCCCAAGGTCCAATTCCACAAAAGTAGTAGGAGAGAGTAAAATAATGGCAGACATTAGTGTTCGGGCAAAATTCTCAGCAAGCCCATTCGACTGGGGATGTCACAGAGCAGTAAACAGATGTCGGCATCCAAGTCCTTCTAACCATTCCTCACGGAATTTTGCAGTGAAGTATGTGCCGTTATCAGTGTTCTTCACATAGTCCTTTTGTTTTGAGATATCTAGAAGTGGACTTGACCCAACACCTGCTGCGAGTGTCTTGTGAAGAAAGGTGTCTAGAAATAACGTTATTTGTTGTGATTTGCTTTGTGAAACCTTTGTTCTGAGTCTATTCCCAATCACAGATGACAGCGCCAAGGACTGGGTCAAACGTAACTATCCGGTTATGGCAGAAAGTGGTGAACAAGTCAGGTGACTGGTCTCGGAATCGAACCACGCCCGTCGCATGCACCACCGCCATTCAACACACATACCTGACCCGACCAAACTGCTTCGGGAGGCGGTTGGTCGTGAGATCAGTTGCGCACTGAGCCAATTGGTTGGATTGTGGACGAGGCCACTCTCCCTATTGGTTGTTGCGGCGTCTTACTGCTGTATTATACGGTCTGTCAGTTTGATTTATATGTAAGCATTGGTGATGTACAGTTTTGCCTACTGGGCTTCGGCTCACGAGCTTTGTTTCTCCTTTCCACCCACAGGAATCGCCGTGAACACCTGCCTTCAGAGAATCACTGTCCCTTGTTACTTCCATAGCGTGCATATTGCACGGCGAACGGCAAGGCTGTTTTGGGCGTAGGATTTCGCCCAGCACATTGATCAGTATTAATGGATTCAGAGGCGGTTGTCGCCGTTGCACCACCTATTGTCACCTGCTGGTAGGCAGCAATGAAGCCAGGCTGACCACACCCGGTGACGGGAGCTTAGAATCTTTCATTAGTAGCATCCTTTTGGCATACCAAGGGAAGACATAAGATAGCTGCTGCACCACCAGGTTGCCGAAGCATAGACAGGAGCAGTTGAGATGCTGAGGTTAGGTCCGAACCACGGAAATGGAGGTCCGTAGCCTGGATCCTTAACCACTGAGCTGTCTCTAACCCGGCGAGATTTTAATCTTAAACGTTAATTTTTCTGGGCCCTTCGGTTGGATCCTGATCACTCTCTTGTAAGTGCGGATTTTCAATATACCTAAGTATATTAAAAATTCGTCCCGAGAATTCTTGGGGCAATCGAAGTGAAAAAATCTTGGTTTGGCCACTGATGCATTGAAAGTTATCAAATTGAACTATGAGCTTTCAAAGCAACCTCAGCAAACGTTAGTCAGAATTCGGCCGTGGTAAACAGTACCAGTCATCAACACCTGAAGCATATATAGTTTCATTCGCGGATAATCTGGGACAGCTTTGGTGCCGTCACAAAAACAGTGAACCTGGCAATGGTGTGTAAGCTCTAGTGACACATTCAGCTACGCTGGGTGGGGTTCGTGCCAAACTCAGTCTCACACCAGGTTGGTCAATGCATTCACCAATGCCTTGACCTCTAATCATGGTTAGAGGTCAGACCGACAGCCGATTGTGGTCATAGTCCCTTGTGCTCCCGAACGAATGCCGGCGCAACCGGTCGCGTCTCCGGACAGCAGTTTTTGTTCGACCACAACAGACCCCTCGTCCAACAAAGGCAGTGGTGCCCTGGAGGAGGCAAACCTCACATGCAAGAAGCGCCCAAAATACATGGAGCTATCGACGCTTATCTCCGTGACAGACGACACAGATGCAGCCATGAGCTCCTCACCAAAGCCACAGCCTCTGGGCTGAGTCAGATGTGCGGAGACAAGCAGCGAAGCCAATCTTCAGCTCCACTCCGTCAAAAGCGGCCTCTCTGCTTGTAGACACAACCGTCGCCCAGGATCCCGATGGCCAAAGCCATAAACGTGACTACAGCCAACCGGAAAATCCCTCGTACATCCAGTTGGCCACGCTGATCGCCGGCGGATCGAGTGTCCACACAAACACGAAAGAAAAGTGACTGCAGTCAAACAAGCTCTATAAGATTCGCCGGATTAGATAACTGCTGACTGGCTTCAAGGTGCAGTCCCTTGCGAAAACGAGCCTCATTGGAGCGCCACCAAAAGCATTACTTCTTGGTGCCGCCACCCAGCGCTCGGGGCCTCACAGGGACACTTTTCCAGTCAATCCGCGCCAAAACACCCAAGAATCCAGGATGGCGAAAGTTCGCCGCAAATCTCTGATCAATAGCAAATCTGGTCGCCAAAACGGCGGTGCTGAAACAGCTACAAGCAGCAATGGTCGAATTTTTCGCCCACGGGGAAAAAACCCCGTCCTCCAAAGCTAAAAGGCCCGAGCAAACCGGGATCTCACGGGGCGGAAAATACCTCGCAAGCGGAAAGCATCCCCAGAAGCCACGAAGACAGGAAGCAGAAAATATTACCCCAGAGGCCCATTTGTGGCCTTGGACTCAAACCCGGCGCACAACTATTAAGTCTGCTAACCTCCCTGGTCACTTAACTTTCGGCTGCTCACCCTCGGAGGCGGCAGAGATAGTGTTGAAATGCTTGCCCACAAACTGCCTCAGCCTTTTCAACAAACTTGGCGATATTAGACAGTCAGCTTGCCTTGAACAACCGTCTGTAATCACTCAGACTTGGCTCACACCAGATGTCTCTGACGCGGAGATCTCGATAGACGGTTACTCTATTTTTCGAGCTGACCCAAAGCGAGGGAGAGCTGGTGGAATTGCTCTGTACTTACATGCGGCCCTACCAATCCCGATTGTCCTCTCTGACACCACCCCCGCACCCTTTTACGATGCACTGTGGGTCTAAATCCCGCTGCGCGGGTCCGATTCTCTCCCTCTCGGTGTGGTCTACTGTAGCTCCTCGAGTCCTCCTGAAGATGACCAATTCCTCATGCGAACCTGTGAGCAACTCTCCTCCAACTACCACTTCACGCATCTGCTGTCAGGTGACTTCAACGCTCCAAAGGCCTGGTTGGAGCTCCAGCGCGTCGAATCAAGCGGACCGTTTGCAGCGGCGCTGATTGAAGTCGATCTACAGAGCGCTTGGACTCAACATGTCGTTGCACCCACCAGATACTTCGCAGGCTAACTACCATCCCTCGTGGATTTGGTCATCACTAACAAAGGACACTTCGTTGATCAGGTAGCAATTAACGCTCCACTAGGACACAGCGACCACTGTGTTCTGACCTTTGATTTCATCTGCTATTGGGTCAGAAGTCTCGACCCTCGAACGTGGTTTCGAGACTTCTGCCGTGCAGACTTCTCAGGCATACGCATCTTTCTTGAACAAGTTAAACTAGGACCAGCCTCAGTGGAGGAATTATATAGGACTATTGTCCATAAATTTCACGAGGCTGACGCGATGTTCGTCCCAAAAAACCAGCACGCAGTCGGATGAGCCACAGGCTGCCAAAAAGGATTCAGTGACCTATGGATAAGAGGCCCCAAATTTTTTTCCACAAAGTTGACTACAGGGGATGCAGAAGATGAACTGGCATATCGTAAAATGCGGAACCGCTGTGAATCAGAAATCCGCCAATGGAACACGAAAACAAGCCACTATCCTGGGCCCTGCTCGTAAAAAGAAAAACGTACTGTTCAAATACATGAAACCGCCGCAGAAACAAGCCATCCTCATTCTCCTTGAGGGGCAGGAACGGAAGACCCATGAGTGACCCAACAGTGGTATCTGAGGCTTACAGAGAACACTATGCAGTTCTATATTCAGCCCCAGTGTCCTCGTCACATCCACTCTTGTCAGGGCGTAACTACGAACAACCTCTAGCCGACTTGGCCTTCACGGCGGAGGACATTCGTCAACTCTTGCACAAGACCAACCCATTCTGCGCGTTGGGGCCGATGAGGGAGATCCAAGGATCTTGCAGCAAACGTCGTCTACACTGGCAAATCATTTATACCTGGTGCTTCGTCAGCCGCTTGACGAAGGCCGCCTACCCTCTGCTTGGAAGGAAGCGATTGTCACGCCAATCTACAAAACTGGCAGCTACAGGCCTATAAGCCTCACTAGCGTGCCATGCAAGGTGATGGAACCCATTCTGAAGCGAGCTGTCCTAGATCACCTTACTTCTAGCGACCTGATATCTCCAGCTCAACACGGATTTCTCCCAAACCGTTCTTGCGTGACAAATATGCCCGTGTTTATGGACAGCTTAACCCAAGCCAAGGACCATGTTCTTGCAAGTCCATGTCTACTCTTTGCGGACGACTTGAAACCCTGGATTTTCAATGCCAGTGCCCTCCAAATGGATGTAGACGCTGCAAAGCAGTGGTCGTTGGACTGGCACCTTCCTCTGAATGCTGAAAAGTGCGTCCATATTTCATTTGGAGGAGACTCAGTGAATGCCTTTGTCATGCATGGTGAGGGAGGACCAGAAAACATCATGAGGATAGACACCAAAAAGGATTTGGTTATCTGGGTCTCCTCGAACTTGTCCTTCTCACTGCACCATGAGAAGTCGGCCCAAAAGGCATTCACCATTTTACGGATGATCCGACGCACCTTCTCTTCTATCACCCGCATGGACTTCCAAGTACTCTATGGGGCCTACTTCAGACCACTCCTGGGATACGACAACCAAATTGTCTACTCAGGACGCACGAAAGATGTCTCGCGATGCTTGATCTCCTTCCCCTGGAGTATCGTCGCCTACGGGGGGACCTAATTCTTACTTACGCCCTGTTTGACAAAGCTTGGACAACAGGTTTTCACCGTTGACCCAGCAAACATACGGCGGGGACATAGTAAGAATATTTTCAAGCTCAGAGCGCACACATTCATTGGGCAAAATTTTTCTCGCTTCGGGTAGCAGCTTCGTGGAATGACCTTTCTCCGACAATTGTCCACGCTCCTTCTAAAACCCAGTTTAAAGCACTACTAGGCATTTATTTATGCGAATCCTCGCGCTGGCAAGCATACTGCCCCGCGCTGAGAACATAAAGAGCAGTGCTATACCCTTTTTCACTTGTGCCTTTCAGATGAACGACAGCCACTGACCGACAAGAACAAAACCTACCCGGGAAACTTGGGCAAGAGCCTCGATCCTGTGTATCAATCCGTGAATCCGTGAAAATCCATGCTGGGGATCGGGACATGCATGACCATTTCTCCCATGAAAATGGCAATGCCCTCGGATTTTCCACCAAACTGCTGCCATGTGGGCCAAAGACTTCGGTTAAGGACCCCAATCTTCCTCCTGTGTAGGTCTGGTCATACTGGCAGTATCCCAACCAACGCATGACCGTGAAAATTGCAACTAACAATCCTTCCATGATATATCGGCGGTCGCGCGGTGTTACAAGCCAGGTCGCCTTGATTGCTGAATAAAAGAGGATGCATAAGCGTAAACATGCTACTACTGACGCTTCCCTTCCTACTCTCCCACTCATTCTCTTTTCTGTCATATCCCACCCCAATTAGAGTACTCCGTCCACTCGTCTAGCCATGAAACTGATGATCACCGTCATGGACAACATGAAATCAGTGATGCTCCACTGTTGTACACCAATGATTTATCTGAAAGTCTTGTTGTAAAAAAAGGTAAAAGTGTACGGAGAAGTGACAGTACCAACCCACCACAGTCATTCTGTGGTTTCTACACAATTCAGGCAATCTGGATAGAAACTGATAAAAAGAACGCCGTTACTAGGAGATACTTGCAGAGCCTCGAACTGGGCGTAGATGGTGTTTACACGGGAGGCAAGTCGCACCGACAACATTCAGACTTTTCTCAATCGTTTCCACACCCCTTGTCAAGGTCAAGGATGGCATCATCTCTGCTTCCGTTACTCTGAATCAGTCACGGAAAACAGCGAATGATCGTTCGGCGCAATACATGGCCTAACCACCTCAGCTTCCGGTGCTGGATGTATTCTCCAATGGAAGTCCCTTTTGCACAACCGAAAATCCGCATTCTAATAGCCTCATTACGGTTTCGCCGAGCTATGGATTTGACACAACGGGCCCTGCAAATTCGTGCACTGACCTCGTTTGTCACACTAAAGTCGGTACTGATACAACTTCCAAAATACGTAAAATGCTCCAAAACTTCGAGTATCTCTCCCTGGATTGTAAGTGGGGTATTCAATGACCGGAGCCTCCATCTTTATACCCCAATCTTGCTACGAATTACAAACCGGTCGCTACGAAATCTCGTCATTCACCGGAAGACGAACAGTTTATACTAATCGAATGCTCACCGACAGCATAATCGAAGCACCAATTTCCCCACGGAGAGCGCAAGTGCTCGTAACGCTCAATACGAACCACATGAGACGCATGGTCATGATCTGCAGCCAGACCATCATTCGCATTATACAACTTGACACTTATCCTTTACCAAGACTTGGGTGAGGTGCAACAGTGGTTAGGGCACGAATTAACTGGCCGGAAGGTCCGTTGTTAGAATGCGTTCTCTGCATCTCGACTTCTGCAAAGGCTCGGACAACCTGACAGTATTCCAGCCTCGTGCTTTTTTTGGCTGGCATGGCAGCTAGACACCGAAAGGGTCTTACAGCTATACGAAGACTGGATTAAATGAGTGAAATATTCACATGCTCTACCGTTCACAGTACGCTGAACATCCAGGGTGGATGTCGTCAGGTCCCAATAATCATGTTAGATAAGTCGTTCACTGCATTCGAAGCCTGCGGAAATCTGTGCCGGTTTCGGCGCATTTCTTTAGGGGTCAAAAACGGGGTGGCGTGTTTCCAACGAACATTAAGCCATATAATCGAAGCCGGACAGTTGAAAAACATTCGCCCACATTGACAACATAAATGTATGCGGAAAAAGTGAAATGAACACGATCATAACCTTAGGCATTTTCTCGACATCGCTAAAACATTCAACATTACTTTGAACAACTCAAAAGGTAACCTGGAAACTGAAGAGCTTACTCTCCCGCGTTACAAGGTCTCCAAAGGTATTTTCAAAACGGACCCAGAACGAATGTGCCCCATAAGAGAATTCCCAATCCCACAGAACGGAAAATCACAGCAAAGAGCCGTGGGTCTGTTCGTCTATCACTCACAGTGGATACAGCCGTTTTCTGACAAAATTCGTTCTTTGATTAAAAGCAAGATATTTACACTCCAGACAGTGTCCAAACAGCACTCATGAACCTCAAGCACGAATCGCAAAATGCAATTGTCGTTACTGTTGACTACATCATCCCTGTCGTCGTCGAAACTGATGCGTCTGAAATCACTTGGTGCATTCCTGGGCCATGGTAATCGGCCGGTGGCGTTTTTCTCTAGGGCCTTGACCGAATGCGGGAAAAAGCCATTCTGCTGTCGAAGAAGAAACGCATGTATCGTTGAAACGATCCAAAAAATGGAACCACTATCTCCTCGGGGGACATTTTAAACTGATCATTGGTCAACATTTGGCCTCTCTTATGTTTTGGGAAGGTCAGATCCTAACGAACAATTCTAGCTTTTGTAATTTTTCACCTAGATTTTATTTCTCTCCTGTTGTATCCAAATGAGATGCAGCGCTTTTTCTTCCTTTGGTTCATCTATTCATCATCATCAGCTTAAAAACCGCGTACTTGTACAGTGGTTGTAGCTACCACAATTTCGTTCACCGATGATTTGGGGAGGTTGGGTAGGTAGCTGCTCATTGGAGGCGGGAGCTGATAAATTGGTGCGTGAATACAGCATTGTCAGTGTACTGTTAAGAGGGGGGAATCGGGAGGGGAGCTATGGATTTGATGCATTAGCGCCATTGAGGGTGAGATTGCCATGCCTAACGATGTCTAACCATTGATGTGGCTCGTCTCGGGGTCTCCATTCAGGAAGACGGCAGTGACCAGTGCAGCTGAGTTTGCTGGTAATGGCTTTTATACTTTGCTGCCAAGTCATTGTTTGACCGCCTCTGGCTCGTTTCCACCCTTCACATGGTCTTGCAAAAAGGACCCTTCGAGGAGTCCGGTCGACTGGTATATGGAACACATGACCAAGCCAGCGCAACCTATGCAGTGTGATCGGTCCATCCATCGAGAACGAGTTATTTCTTCGGAATACAATTCGACTTACTTCAACATTGCTGATCCGGTGTTTCCACCGGATTCGGCAGTGTGCCGGTGACATCGATGGTCAAACACTGAAACACTTTTGACGTCCTCGGCCACGCAGCAGCCACGTTTCTGATCCTCATAGTAGTACAGAGCCCACCGCAGCATTGTAAACTCGACCCTTGACAGATAAGCTGATGTCACGCCTGCACCACAGGTGACGCAGGTTCACAAAAGCGGCTCTAGCCTTCCAAATCCGTGTGGAAGTGTCATCTTTCGTGAGATCACCGGGACGGATACAGCCACCCAGGTAAACAAACTTGTCTACTACCTCAATCGGTTCATCCGCGAGTATGAGGCTAGTTTCCTAGCCCACCCAGTTTTTCAGTAGCACTTTACACTTTGCAGGGGTGAAGCGCATGCTAAACCATGAGTCAGAATTATTTAGATTACCTAATATTGCTTGCATTACCATGAGGTCCGATCCCAGAAGAGCTATGTCGTCTGCGTACTCGATATCTGTGAGCGGACGCCCCGGGAGCACTTCGACTCCACAGGCATTAGAGGCTGATGATGAGTCTTCCATGATCGAATCGATGACGAAGCTGAAGAGGAAAGGTGAAAGAGGACACCACTTGATGTGCACGCTCCATGGCGTGATCGGAATCAAATGGTGTGCCCCAGAGGGATTCCCACTTGTGACTGATGGTTACGTTTAATTCACCACTTACAAGGCGTCTCTGTAGCTAATAGCTAATGTAGAGCCCTTTCGGTGCCTAGCTACCATGCCACCCGTAGAAAGCAAGACGGCTGGAGTACTGCTTGGTTGCTCAAGCCTAAACATGGGAAGTCGAGATGCAGAGTTCGAGTTGAAACCATAGACTTTCCGGTCAACAAACCATCGAGTCATCTCTGTAGCTGGACAACATCAAGTTGAATTGCTGGTAATCTTCCAGAACTCGATGGGTACAAGGTTGTAGTGGCGATTTGGACGCACAAATCACGCAATAAACCGGAAGTACCACGAAATGAAAAGCAAGAATATTGATACCAGGAATGAGGTGCTCAAATGTGCTGGCAACAAATATCCTAACAACGGTACTCAGTGCTTGCGAAGTACCTGTTGCGTCTGTAGGAGCTAACTGAGTGATTTAGGAGCTTGATGCAATTTATTCTCACGTTGATAGTCTAGTTACTCGAGTGGGAAGGAAGAACACGAAGGTCACCAGATGAATATCGGCTATATTGCAGATGAACCAATCGAAGAAGGAGCGCTGCGGCTCAGCTGGCTACAACAGAGAGAAAATGAAATCTAAGTGAAGTATTACGAAGTCTATAATTGTTCGTTGGGACCTGACTGTCATAACACTACCGATATTCACATAGTATCACAACGATGGAATTGGTGATACCAGTGCGCATCGTTTTTGGTGCTCTTTTGCTGATGATAATGTGGATGCGGGGTATCTTGATCAGGATGTTGATGGTGATGAGTGTATCAACGTAATCAATTGTCTGATCAAACTGTCTGATGTTTTAGCTTGGTAGCATGCAGTGTTGCTGTAATACTTCGAAATCTGTTTGTATGGAGCGAAGGTTAGTTATAGCAGATACTCTAGACCACTTCTGCTTGTTGGTTCTTTCAGATGAGATTTTACGGCGGCGTTATTCTTGTTTTCACAAGTGGTATAGTGTGCAACATATCCATCGTAACCCATATTCGGGAAACTAAATTCCAAGCTTAGAGATGGTGAACTTTTAATTGAGACCCTTTGCCCTCCTTATGTCTCATTTGTGATTTCTAAAACGTGAAATCCGAACTGTCAATAAACCCCTTCGTCTCTACCTTGGAGATGAAAATTGATGTCATGGAATCCTTTTGATTTAGTCGGGAACGCATTTAAAGCTTATTTATCATTTTATTTTTAGACAACCGCCTACTGGACGGATTCTCCATTACGCTGCTGAGCTGGACAGTGTGTTACATCGGCCGTCTGGGTCGGTGTATCCTAGATTCAAAAACCCGTTTAATTCAATGTAGGCTTAATACACTGTTTGTTCCAAAGAGACAATGTGAAATGAGAATTCTCAATGTTGCCGAGAAAAATGACGCAGCAAAAAATATTGCCGAAATCCTCAGTGGAGGACGAATTAACAGAGTATGCAAAAACGACCATAACGAACCTACTTTTAGCGCGAAGGTCTTTCGAAATTTAATAAAATATACGAGTTTGCCTACAATTTCGGTGGTGCTCATGCAACCATGGTCATGACCTCAGTGTCTGGTCATCTGCTGAACTATGAATTCTCTCCTGCCTTCAAATCGTGGTATGAAGTTTAGGCGTCTCAGCTCACCTTTTAGGCATGCATCTGACCCCTTGGTGCTGTTCGACGCCCCCGTCAGTAAAGGTGTGATAAAAGACGGTGAACCCATCAAGGTGAGTGTACGGAAACCTTTCTTCTTTTGTTTTCTTTGTTAAACACCCTATACCATGTAGCTACGGTGTATTCGACAGCATTGTCAAGAAATTCTAGATGGCTTCTATTGGTGGCGAGTCCTTTCGGACGCTCTGTCTCCTAAACAGTCTTTGCTTCTGTACAGTTTACCTTCACAATGCAATATTTCCCGTTACTAAAGTATAGCGGCGAAGGGCCTGCCTACATCGACCATTTCGGTACAGTTGTTCAGCTACGAAAGTTTCACCATGAATTTTTAAAATCACACCTTTAATTCATCTGAATGAGCCATAGAGAAGTCGCCCTGCGCATGAAAATAATGGTAGAAGGGGGTGCTTAAATTCGATTAATTCGCACGTCCAACACGGAGAAATAAGGCCCCATCCCAATGTGACGGTTTTTGTGTTTTCGTGGTCCACTGTTTTATCCTAGCTTACGCCCAACTGACGCTCGCATAGTCTCGTACCGGATTGGTCGAGTAGTAGGGGATCACGGGTTCTCTAGGCTGGTAGTTTTAGCATCTCGGGGGGGGGGGGGGGTCACACCTTTAATTCATCTGAATGAGCCATAGAGAAGTCGCCCTGCGCATGAAAATAATGGTAGAAGGGGGTGCTTAAATTCGATTAATTCGCACGTCCAACACGGAGAAATAAGGCCCCATCCCAATGTGACGGTTTTTGTGTTTTCGTGGTCCACTGTTTTATCCTAGCTTACGCCCAACTGACGCTCGCATAGTCTCGTACCGGATTGGTCGAGTAGTAGGGGATCACGGGTTCTCTAGGCTGGTAGTTTTAGCATCTCGGGGGGGGGTGTGTTCCTTACAAGTCAGATTACTGTGGGAATCCCAAACCAACCACTGCCGTCTTGCTTTTGAATCAAAAGCAATCTTTTCACTTCTTTGAGAAAAAGATTGGGACATAAACTTGGTGTTAGGTGTATCTGTGAGACTTGGAAGAATGGTTAATTTCAACCACATCGAAGCCTACCGAAAGCTGTTCAAACACAACGACTTTCACACTGCATGTCTGCCAATCGCCCTCACCAACTCGATAAAAAATGTGTCGTGATACATCGACATACGATGGTTGAACCTTGCACGCGTTCCCGCACCCGCATCGACGAATCAACTGGCCTGCTTATGTACTACGAAAACCCCAGGACACTTATAACTCAGTCGCCAGCTGATCCTGGGGACCTGTTGATCATTTTTGGGTCACTATCTCATCATTAACCTGGTACTTTCTCTGCCGCCGGCAGCGTTCTGCTAGCTCATCCCTGAGGTATGACTAATTGAATAGATGGCCTAACAGACGAAATACTATAATGTATTGTATTGCAACAGTGTTACCTTCAGTTAATTTGGCATTCTTGACCCATCTTTTTATGCTTCTAACGTTTAGATCCGCGGGACGGCGTGATGTCTATAATGTCTCTGTCATTACGCCAAACAGCAATATCACAAACTTGAAACTACCTCTCGTAGCCCCTGGGCGTTGGTCTATTGTCAGGTTGTCAGCTCAGCCATACTTATATGTGGAGTTATTTCGCAGTGATGCTCCTGAAGCCGAATTTCTTCACAGCTAGCTTACTGTCAGGCACCAAGGCCTTTGTATTCTCGCCGATTAAACACTTGCTGTTGGTGTGCAACCATAGGGTGTTTATTGGAACATGTAGGGTTCGCTCACTCATGGGCTATTTGGAAGTGGTACTATTTCTAACGATAATATGATGTGTTTTTGAGATGAAACACTAGCTAACTTTTCACTCACAATGACCACTCCAGTGCAACTGATTGTCAAATGACTGAGCACTTCAAGGTAGGTGCAGCTGCCACCTTGACGTGGTGGTCGGGCTTGAGTGCTGCAGCGATCCCGCGGGCTACACTGGCAGGAACTTCGTTCCACAAGGTGCAATCATGCCAGGAAGGCTAAAGGGGAGCAGCCAGCTAGCTAACTTTCACTCACAATGACCACTCCAGTGCAACTGATTGTCAAATGATGGGACTGAGCACTGCAAGGTAGGTGCAGCACTAAATGAGTGCCAATTATTGGTCATTTTCGGGCATTCTCTTATTATGTGAAACGAGACATTTCTTCGCAGTATACATATTGGTAGCCAGTTTTGCTCCATCGAACGAATCCGCATATTTTTAAACATTTTAAGAAGCCGTCCATTTAGGATGCCCTCGGCCAGTCTGTGCATGAGTTCTTTTCAGACGGTTTACTCTTCAGATGTTGTCACTAGCTGGGATTTAATTTTTAATGCTGTTGTTCTCTGCTAGTAACCTTACGAATTTTGATTGAAGTGATTCAATTCTGAGAATTTCTTCAATCCTATCTATAGGAGACTCTTCAGCGAGAAGTTCGCCGTTGTAACAGACTTATTATATGGACAGACTGTGATCGTGAAGGGGAGAATATTGGTGTGGAAATAGTTAACGTATGCCGCGAGGGTACGTCGTTCTTTTTCTGCGCATCTTGTGTCAAGTTACTTCTTCTCCTTCGCTCGTTGTTGAAAGTTCGAACTCACCATCTATTTTTCTTACAGTCAAACCCAATATAGAAGTTTTTCGCGCCAAATTCTCGGAAATCACTCCTGTGTGAGTTGTATTTGTTTTCTGACGTCCGTACTAATGCGTGCTGGAGTTTTAATTAATCTAACCAACAACTTCATGGTTCAACATAGCGATATCGTTGTTGGATGTTGCTGTTTCATCATTTAAAGTCAGCAAAAGTCCTTTGAAGATAGTCAGGAGAGAAATAAATCTTGAAAGGGTTCGGTCGCCAGCCGACAACCGCAAGTAGATAGGAAAATTTACATTTTTTATTCTGCTCAGCTGATGGTGACATTTGTTCCTAATTAGTTTGGACCCCATCACAGTACAATCAGTCCTCTCCAAGTGAGTCTTATTCGTGAAAGCAGTTCTGTTGCAGTTCCGCATCAGAATCAGTGATAATAGAATATAAAAAACTTCAGTCGTACCGCCTCTGTGTTTCTTCAAACGCCATTAGTGGTGACAAATTTAAGCTCGGGAAAAATGCTAGTTTTCGGCATCGTCATCGTTTCAGATACACCTACGCCTTTTCTGTTGGTCATGACCAGGGTTGGGCGGTCTGGCAATACTTGGCCTTTTTATTCGCTTGTGTTAGCGGTAGTTGTGACCTGGATTAGTCCTACAGCTGAATGATTACGTGTTGCTCTTTGATTCTTAGTTCTTTTAACCTATCAGTTTGTGGATGTGTTTACCATGTGTTATCGCGCTTATGTTTTTCGCTTGGGTTTATTTGGTATAACCACCTGTTTCATACCCTCCTTACCGATCTAACTTAATATGTATGAAAGCAATTCCTGTATCTGTGCGTCTTACTTTCCTTTTTTGAGAAGCTTTTTTTAACCACCAACAAAGAGGACGAAAGGATGCATTCTAAATATCGCTGCAGCTCCATGTAATGGGATGCGGAACACTTTTATGGGCTGCTGAAAAACCAACAAATGACAAATAAAGTCCACGAGAACTGTAACAGCAGGTTTCATCAGTAGCACAAGGTTTCGCCGTACCAAATGGGGTTAACGGGGTAGATCTATTTTCGACCACCTTTGTTTTGGCCGTGATCAGTCTTGTGGTCTTTGTCAAGGAAACTCGCTCTTTTATACACAGCCCCAAGTGCCAGAATGCATAGAACGAAGCTACAGCAAACCCAATGTTTTTAGTGTGTGCCGAAGAAATCCGCGACCATCTATGTAATCAAATGCTGTCCCGCAGGTTTCGGAATTTTGTGGTGCATCCCAACTGCGATTCTAAGCAAGTTGCTCATCCGGTGGAACGTTGTGCATAATTCAACCATAAGCACGTTGGGTTTCTGAGACTCGGCGGTTCAGGCGTGTTCAGTGTGTGTTGGTGAAGGTAACTGGCGGGTCCGCTCAAGCACCGGATAAACCATAGAACACCAGGATTGATTGAATCTGGAAAAAATTTCCCCGCATGTTCCAAACAAGTTGAGGCGACCACTTATCGGTCATCAAGCAAAAGGGAGTGTGTGAACCGACCGTGAAGTCTGGTGGGCACGGGAAGCCATGAAATGGTAGAGATCTACAAAGTCGGAAACGCGTGAATGTTTATCAATCCGTTATCGATCAATCGGACTCCGTATACCACCTGTGTGCGAAACCATCAAGGATCTGAATTGAGTGTCCATCTTGAATAAAGAAGACCGCCTCGACCACTGGGCCTAATACTTTGAACACCAGTTATCGTGACCACCTGGTGCCACCCATCTGGTGGCCACAGCTGATGTAGAACCTTGGAGGATGAACGTGGAACTTTATGACCGCATGTTCTCTCAAGCGCCATCGAGCTCCTGATCCAGATGACCTCCCACACGCACTGTTAAGGATGAAATTGAAGTCCTCAGTGTACACTCGTTTTATTCGTTTGCGTGCATCTAGGCAAAGAACAACTGGAGAGAATCGGTGATAGTGCCCATTTTAACGAAAAAGGGGTTCGTAGTGAGCGTGGTAACCACAGCAGGACCAGCTTGACTTCGGTCGCACCGAAACTGCTGGTGTCGCTTGTGCTTCGTTAAACACTGACTCAAGAGCAGCAAGCAGTACTCCAGCCTGGTAACGGTTGTGTTGGGTAAATCTCGACACTGTCCTGACACAGTACAAACGACCTGGATTCCCAACTTGCATTCGACTGAGTTGACAGTCTGTCCTCCTTGACCCGCTTGCCCATCAAGCCTGTGAACGTAATAAGTTCCTTGTATTATCAGACTTCCGACGTGTATGTGTATACGCACAGCTCCCCAAAACTTTGCGTACACAGTGATGTCCGTCTCCATTCCTACTTAATTTCGTAGTCGGTGAGATAGTGAAACGACTCTGGAAGGTCATTCGAACCCCGGTGTTCATGCATCCTCTGACAAAAACCTTGTTAATCTGGAGTATGTGAACAGAGAGGAAAAGGCATGTGTTTTTTGGATGAATCAAAGTTATAACATCCTTTGGTATGAAATTTACACCCACAAATACTCTTGGATATACAATCATGTACCTTGGAATTTGTATGAGCTGATTGTGGCAGATGAGGTCAGTGTACGAGTCTGCAAGGCTTGGGGCGCGTTGGCTTATTTGATATCCCTATGTTGTCAAAGCGGTATATCCCTGAATCTCATGGGACGTGTCAGGCTACAGTACAGGCTGTATTGTTGTATGCCTGTGAGACTTGGCCCGTTCGAGCACCGGAACTGAGATTTCTTCAGGTATTCGACAATCGTTGTCTCCTTTTGGTTGGTGTTGACGAATCCTTAATGAGGCACTTGCAAAGTGAGTTTTCTGTTGTACCACAGGGATTTTGTTTGGCGAGTATGTTCGGCACCAGAGGCTGCGTTGGTTAGGCCATGTATTGCGCAAGCTGAACCATCATTTGTCGAAAATGGCTGTTTTATGCGTCCCATTCTGAGAGGTGGCCAACCCTTGATCAAGCAGAAGGATGTGAAAGATATTACGGAATGTCTGGGTGCTGTCGGCGCGACTCGCCTTCCAGCATGGCGACCGCATTATCCCCACTGTGCTGGTTGAGGACGCTGCAGGGTGTGGTTGAAATTCTATCGGTGGAATTCCTGTTGTCAGTTTCTATCCCGAATGCCCGAATGAGTGTCTGGAGGTGTAGGCACCTCAGAGTGATTGTGATAGGCTGACGCCAAGTCGCTCCCGCGTCCACAATGAGGCTTTCAAATACGTCATGTTTGTGTGGCAGCCAAGTATCAGTGTTGAACAGTGACGTCATACTGTCGATGATGATGATGATGATGATGCAAGTCTGGTGAACCTCATCTCGAGTCAGTGGCACTTCTTTCGTCTTCGCATCGCACCATATTAAGGTTTGTCCTCCTGTAGCTCCAGTCTTTTTTACCCGACCTCGTGCGATCACTTCAAACAGCTTCTCACAGAGTGGACCCATGTAAGCCATTTCTCATCCTTACAAATGTGTGTATGTTCGAACTGCTTACCAACCCTCCCTAATTCTACGACCTAGCTCTATTGACACCTCTTGGCTTATTCCAGTGGTTCATCTAAGCTTGCGATTCGTGGATGCAGCCTGCGGTGTTTTTGGAACAGGCTGCGGAATTATTATGTCCCCATTTAACCTGTCTATGCATTAACCAGGTTAACAATTTCATGCTTCAGGGTTTGTTGTCAACCTGAATGATGTAGACGGGTGGGTTGAATTCACTCTTCACCGTTTCAACCTGCACTATTAGTAGTGGTAGTAATAACGCGAAAACATTCCAGGTAAACTCACACAGGTAAACTCTCACATTTTGGTCATGTAGTTGGTTTGATTGCTAACTTGATTACATCGTATTCGCACAGGTTGAAGATACAGTATTCTGACGGTCTTCGAGAATGTGGAGAGCGCAAAAGCTAACATTAAAGTTGTATGACTCCAAAATGAGCACGAAAGAAACATGAAAATAAACTTACAAGTTAATTCAATAGAAAAACCATTCATACTGGCCGTTCGAGAAATATAGGCAACAACCATGAAGGTTAATGGATTCGAGGTTTGAAAGAAATCTTTCAACTGTAGCACCCTTTCGGTGCCCGAATGCTATGCTACCAGACACGAGGGCTGGGATACTGCCCGGTTACCCAAGTCTAGAGAGGGAATGTCAAGAGACAGAGAGGACCTTCTGACCAGCGAATTTGCGCCCTTACCACTGAGCCATCTCATCCCCGCAGCTTGAAACAATCATATTCTCTGCCTGTTTTCGGCTGGTAATTATGTAGTATGTTAATTATGTATTGAGTCTCTTGATGCCATCGAGGTTTTGACGCCATTTTAAGTGCCTTAGCAACTCATTGCGTGGACTTTCTAGGTTCCCTTATTCTGACACTGTTGTAAGTGGCAACTTTTGAGCAGGGATGAAGGTGATGTGACGATCAAATGGATTGCAAGCTTGACATGTGACTACGACGTACCACACGTGTCCACTGTCTAGTGCGACTCCGTGTTGTCACCATTTGGCTACTCACACCATGACTTAGTTGCTGACCAAAGCACACATCACTGCCTATAGTATTTCTCTGGAAAGTCAAAAATAAGCTGAGAAGAGCATTACATTTTAAGAGTAATGAGAATCCGCATCCGTTGCATTTTTGATTCTGTCTATTATGACCAAAGATTGAATAGGAGTATGATTAGACATCTGTGGCCAAATGGTCAAGTCTGATTGCTCCGTTATCCTCATGCTTATTTTTGCAGCTTAAGAGCACTGCGAAATTGAAGGCTTTGACAAAAAATTACTAGCATGGAATGATAAAATGTGTTCAAAAATGTTCTTATCAGATGCAGTCAGTGCTGAGGGGAAGGACACTTGACAGTGTAAGGTACGTCTCGGACATGAAACTGGTTGTACTAACCGAATGAAGTTGTTTTTGACGTAATCGGAGAAATTCATTGTAGTCGCGTATCGTATTCTATCTCAGTCCTGGACGCCAGAGGTTCTTTGCTTTTGCAGTACATCAGTTCTCACCTTTATCACCTTTATAGGGCGATCACTCGTGCAGTCAATCAGCTTTCCGTTCCCGATTATCGAGTCAGTGCCGCAGTAGATGGCAGACAGGAATTGGATCTCCGAATTGGTGCTGCCTTCACACGTTTTCAGACTCTTCGTTTGAGGCGTGTGTTTCCCCGTGCTCTGAGCAACCAACTAATCTCTTATGGCTCCTGTCAGTTTCCCACCTTAGGATTTGTGGTTGAGCGATTTCGTGAGGTGGACCGGTTCATTCCAGAGCCATTTTGGCGAATAGTGGGTGAGTACTGTAACTGAAGAGTGCGACTGCAGTCCCTTTCTCCATATATCTGACATTCATCACATGTTCGTCTTCTTACACGCCGCCTTTTATTCCATGCTTATGGATGTTACTGTTTTTGTTTGGTTATGCCATTGCCGAATATTGTAGTCGGTGCTTTAGTCATTTGACTGTTGTGATGAGTGATGTCTCCACTGACAGCTGTTTTTCTCTCTTCGAAGTTACCGCCGAACACAATGGCAAGGCTGTGGACTTTCAGTGGAAGAGGTATGGATGGAGTAGCATTTTATCCAGTGATACTGTGAAATGATATCATATCTATACATGACTTTCTCTTTTCAGGGGTCGCCTCTTCGATCATGATGCTTGCAAAGCCTACTATGAACACCTTTTGGAGGTACGTGATTTTTAGGTAGCATCCTCTACATCTTGCCACGTGATAATGAGCATGCCCATGTTTTATAGGGTACGTAAGATACTGGCGGCGCAGATGTAAGAATACGTGAAAATGAGTTTGGTTAAAGTACTACTGAAGACACAGAAAAAGAAAACAGCAAGTCTGGGAGGCACCCTTTTATATTCCCTGTTCCGCCGACAGCCTTGCTGCGCAAGTCGCCTGTGTCTGTGCTAGTGCACCTCCAGTTGCGCATCAGAGTGACCGTAAACTCTGTTACGACGATATACTACTTTATGTTATAGTATCTCAATATGCAGTTTTACAAAACTTAGCCCCATGAGCTAACAGATGTTGACGGGTTGAGTTCTCAAAAATTTTCTTATCTTCCCTACTCTGTTTCTTTATGTCTCTTCAATTTGCTGAGATCGGCTCTCTCTTGAGAAAGCTCGTACCATTATCTGGAGTACAAAGTTGACTTCTACTCCACTGTCAGATGTGTCCTTCTGTCATTTAAAAGGGCATTCTTTCAGGAGAACGATGCCAGACAATAATCGCTAAAACATTAGACGTTCAACGAAAACTTGTGAACTACGGTTATCAAGATTAAATGAATAGCTCATGGGTAGCACCCTGCAGCAGAGTGTCCTGGCGCTTTGAGCAGATAAACGACAACTCGGATTTTTTCAGATTATAAGACTTTGTAAAACAAATTGGAAACGGAAGTCTCAGGCGTGCAGTTCTGGGGCAAAATGTGGAAGAAACAACTTCCGTCTGATGAAGATAACAGACCTACTTCTGAGTTTACCACGTCCACTGTTGCAAGACTAAGTTCCTGCCTCTATTCACTCTTCAACTTTGTGAGTGACATGCTCCTTGATACTCTTCTGTCTGACTTTGAAACCTCGGATGTGAATTGCCCGGGATGCTCGTTCACAATTATTGGTCGTGGTATATTTTTTAAAACTTTTAGTCCATTTTAAATAATCTAAGTAGTTATGGCGCACGGTCTGTTATACGCCCCACACCCGCGAACCGTGAATTGTTGCTAAAAGCCTCAATGTAATGCTTTAAGACCGGTCAGTTAACGTACTGGCAAAGTTATTTAAATGGGCATTTGTGTAAGTCCCGATGGACTTGTTGGAGATGAGGCTATGCCTGGAATTGGGAAAGCTAGAGCAACTTTCCCTCATCATGGGCTTAACTCCAGTCTTTCAAATCACTCCGTTTCCGTCATTTGAATAACACAGTTTTCAGTTTTTGATCGGCTGCATCAGAAACACTATGGGGCATTTCAGCGGATTTTTATATACTTACAATATCACTGTGGTCACGTTCCTAAAATCCCATTTCCTTGCTCATTCTCGCTCTTTTCTTGAGATCGTACTCCTAATTGCATCATTGTTTTCAGAATCGTTACGGTCAGGTGATCGAGGTTGTGAAACGTCCGAAATCCAAGTTCAGGCCTGTCGCTCTTGATACCGTGGTAAGTGATGAATACCCTAAAGCCTTCCTCAACAATTCTGAAAGTCAATTCCCCTAGATTAGATTACACTGGTTGCTTTTCCATCCATTTATTTTACTTCATCGAATATCTTGTAGATGACTTCTGCAATAGAGCAGTTGGTTGTGGAATAGCAGACTTATTGCATAAGTTCGTGTTTACGGAATTTTGGCGTGACTTGTATAGTTCGTGGAATGCATTATCTAGACCTTCAATTTATGATAACTCTATTTGTTGCAGTGTCTAACGGGTGTGGGCTGGCGTTGCATTCAACCTTCTCACTGAAACCCTTTTCTGCCCATTATTTCTATGCACTTTCCTCACAGGAACTCGAAAAGTTAGCAACTCGAAAGCTACGCATTGGTGCGAAAGCAGCCATGCAATTGGCTGAGCGCCTGTACACTCGGGGATTCATTTCTTATCCGCGCACAGAAACGAACATTTTCCCACCCAACCTCGACTTGGCCACATTGGTTCGACTTCAAACGCAAGACAACAGATGGTCTGGTAAGGCCCCGACAGAGTGGTGATTCAGTACTCCCATGTCCCAACACTCCTCCTCAGCGTTTTACTCTGAATTTCATGATGCACTACCTCATATAATCAGTCTTGCAATTTTCGCATTCGATAAAATATTCATTTGAGCACTGTTTTGCTAGACTACCTCTATGGAATCGTCTACATGTGGCGGATTATTCGGGGATCGTTTGAAAACAGTCAATTTGTCTTACATGCCTGCAATATTTGGTTTGAAGACCGTGATTATTTTGTCCAGTTCGTTCATAATGTCTTATTGTTACTCTTGTTTACTGTTTCTTTATTGGATCGTGTGGTGGTTCACCGGCTCTGCCAGAAAGATTTACGCTATCGTTGAGTTTCTGGAAAAAACACCGTACTCTCGTCCTCGTTGGCAGCAACACCGTAAAACACTAGCCATAATTTCTAGGAATGAAAGGGCATGATAGAAGGATACTAATTGTTAGCTGACCTCATTTTTCCGTAACCCTCAGAATCCCAGGTGAACCGTGAGGACAGAAATGGAAGGGTATAGAGCCCATGCTCTATTCGGTGACCATATTTTCCGGGTCTATCTCTATTCTGGAACGCAAGTTGCACCATCAGTACTTTTTGCATTTATGTCCTTGAACGTTTTTCGTGTCATCTTTAGAGCCCTTTGGTTGTAAACTCTCATAATGCTTGCCCCAGCACTTTCTCTTTTGAAAGTTTCTTCAAATTTCATTCAGCTTTAAGAACTCATGAGACAACGTTGGTCTGTCACTTGGGGTGTCAGGCGTCCATAGGATTCGATCTTGATGTAGAACACTAAGCTGAAACGTCCTATAATATCCACTTCATGTGGTCTATCGCCTAACTGATGTGTGAAGCCGTTAGTTCAGTTTCTGTTGCAATGTCAAAAAATTAGCCACTTAAGCTCAATAGTGAGCACAACAGTGAGACTGGATGGTAGAAGCCGTTCTGGATATCCGTCTGGATATCCGTTCCAGTTAGCTTCGGACGCGTACCAGGTCGCTCTAATTTACTGTCATGCAGATTAATAAACAGTACCGAGAATACCTGACAAAAGTTACTCAGGTCTCTCTTCCACCTGTTATTTTAAACGCTGCATTTTTTGCACCTTTTTCTCAAACTGGTCCACTTTCCCTCTCTTTCTGTTTACCACTTGCAGACTTCGCCAGTCGTATTTTACAAACAGGAGTTAATCCGCGTAATGGAAAGTCAACTGATAAAGCTCATCCACCCATTCATCCGCTCAAGGCTGGAGCTGGTTTGCAGGTGGGTGATTTTTCTTTTGATGTTGCAATAATTTTGATTTGCATTCCACGACCAACAACATTACCAGCTTTCATTGGTTACAAACACCTGCCAGCATTAGCGTTCGCGCAACAATCTTTCCCTTATCATTGATATTTTCGTTCATTCCCTGTGACTATTTTGCTTACACATGCCATGGAGAAAAACATTGGACAGTCCCTGAAAGTTCGATGATCTTCCTCAGAACTGGGGCTTGTCTATTAGTTCGTAATAAAACGCCAGTTACCTTGCCTTAGTGGATTCCGATAACTTGATTGGGCGCATAATTGCACACCGAATGGTTCGTGCTTGTCCTTTTGGGCTGACATGGCTTTAATAACTTTCTCATCAGTTGTTTTGTGCACGCAGTTGAAGAGCATGGACGGTTTGGTCGACAGTTCGTCACTTGACTTGTATCTTCCACCTTCGCATTGATTAATATTCGTTCACCCAAGTTACCGTCAGCCTATTGATTGTTAGATGTATCTTTTCCCGACGTTTGAATGGCTAGGTATGGTGAGAAACACCAAACTGCCCAGAATTGAATTTTCCTCATAAGTCTCATTCTGCTTTGCCTTGTAGGGAGATGAGGCGCGTCTGTTTGAATTAATAACGCGCCACTTTCTCGCCTGCGTTTCTGCGGATGCCCAGGGTGCAGAGACGCTAGTTCGATTGTGTGTTGGAAAACCGTCTGTACCAGATGCCTCCAGTCGATCTACCCTGTTGTCTTCAGAAGATGGGGAAATTTTCGACGCGAAAGGCTTAGTTATTCTACAGAGCAACTACCTAGAGGTGTACATTTACGACCGTTGGGTGGAGCGTGATATGCCCGATTTTCAACTGGGCGCTTGGCTGTTGCCAACCAATATTGAGGTAAGCAAGTTTGGTGAAGTTTTTCCTTCCTGGTTCAATTATTCATGTTAAGAAGAACTTTTCATCAAATCACTTACACCTCTATCATTTCCTCAGGACGACTTTAGTTCAATCAAAAATCTCAGCCGTCTTATTTTTGTCACATCCTATCATCCAACAGGATTTTCGGTCTTTGCCTACTTTGATTTCTGAAGTTCGTCGATGTGGTACTGTCGGTTTTACTCATGCTTCGTTCTGTAGGCTCGTTCTCTTTTAAATCGTTCCAGATTATTTCCGGTCAAACCAGTCCGCCGCCATTGCTAACCGAGGCCGATCTAATTGCTCTTATGGATCGTCATGGTATCGGAACAGATGCCACTCACGCCGAGCACATTGAAACCATAAAGCAACGCTTATACGTGGGCCTCGAGCAAGGAAAATTTCTGGTTCCCGGACAGTTAGGAATGGGCTTGGTAGAAGGTATGATCCGTTCAACCTCAGAATTTGCCTTTAAACTTGCCATTTAATCCCCCGAGATTTTATCGAATCCTCTTTTTGCAGGGTATGACTCCATGGGGTTTGAAATGTCTAAACCACACTTGCGTGCTGAGCTTGAGGCAGACCTCCGACTGTAAGTGTTTGCTCTTACTATTCGGTGTGCTTTTTCCAAAGGTATTCATTAGATGCCACAAGCCATATTTTTGTCTCCGCCTTTCACGCTTTCAGTTTCGTGTGAGATCACTTGGGTATCACACTAATAGGTTTAGGTACAAAAATAATCTATCTGGCGGGCGTCCGGAATTTCTGTGCCATGAAACCATCGTTCTAGCAATTGGTCCCTTGGCTTGTGCTGTCTACTAGTGACCTCCATAACTTCAGTGTTCCGAGTATCCGGTTGCTGGACAGTCGGATGTCCGTTAGCCAGTGTGATCAGTCCCAAGGAAGGTAGCCGGAGCAAACATGCCAAGCTACCTCCTGACCATTAAAACAAGAGAGAAATATGTGTGTCAAACGGACCCGAAGTGCCTGTGCCCAAAACTTCCACAGCTTCCTGGCAACGCACACCTTATCACAGTACGCCTGATCGCGTGCCTTGGAATCTCTTGTGCAGATCATGGGGCCCTTTACCAAGTCAGTCGATTTCGCGAGACGGAATTATGTCGCTTTCTTTGGTTAAAATAGCTATTTCCTTTGATATCTGGTTCCTACGTCCCACTTACCTTAGGTAATCCAGTGTTGCACAGAGATTTTCGGGGATGCCTACCGTTTAGTTACCAGAAATAACTGGTTGTCTGAGTGATTCGATATGTTAGCGTCCAATGTGGTGGTTATATCATCAGGAACGAGAGATTCAGCTAGATTCAGTCGAGTTCTGTATCGAAACCAGATTTGTGTGCAAATGAGAGTAGGTGTTGCAGCCTGTAGCTTATTTATCGGGTTCCTCTAATACAACCACCTTTCTTATGTCAACAAGCTCGTCCAAACATTAAACCTGGATGGTACGAACGTTTTAATCTCAATGTGTGCTTAGTTGTAATGGAGTTTTGCCTTCCTATTTGTGTAATAATATGAATTGAGGATTGTGGCTTTATGTGTATAGCCAATCGTTTTTTTGTTTAATGAACATTTTGGGCACCACCAACTTACAAATGGCTGTAACAATAATGTTCTGGAATGCATTGATGCTTACTTTCTTTTTTTCCAGCATTTGTGACGGTCGAAAGACAAAAGACGGTAAGTGTACTTCTCTTCTGCTCAGCATAATGGTGCACACAATGCGTTCAGCGTTCCCCTTCAGCTAATTTCCATACCCGGAAAACAACTTGCACCATTTAGCGCATTTTTGTGCATAAAAGCCTTTAGAGTCTAGCTGATACCTCCTTCCTCAATGAAGTTTCAGGACCTTTATTTCTCACTTGAGTGATTTCTTGAACAAAAGGTAATTCTAAAAACTAGGAGGGACCATTACATAGACACATGCTGTATGTTTTCACAACACCTTTCCTTCCACAGTCTGAGCTGTGGGTTTTAAACCTTCGGTATTACATCTACCTTCACACCCTTACGGAACTGAACTGAACTGCCTCTCAGGAGCCGGTGTGTGGGTTATGTTCGTCAAAATCATCACCCTCTTTGCAAGCAAACAGGCTTCGAACGCCAATGAACGATCACAATAGATAGTATTTTTCGAATTAAAGCAACCATGATTCTCGCCTCATTCATCAAAGAGACGTTAGTGCCTAAAATACTTTAAAAGAGGCCATTTTCGGAACAAATCAACTGGCGGTTGAGAGATTCATGTGGAATTCCAGACTAGAGTGGACCAGACGTATAGACTAGCTAGCTAATATCTTTAATTTAAGGGCGCAATATTTAAAAGGCAATCACGCCTCAGTTTAGGTACATCTCGCTCGTAACTTTCCAGTCGACACTGAGCTTGCTGCCGTTATCACGACACAAAAGAAGGCACTGATTTAAATCAACCCAGCAGATTTTATTTATCCGAAAATATTCACGGAATGTCAAGGGCCTTCAAGCTCAACACTCTTCACACTCATTTTTGCGCTTTAGACCAGTGGTCCTCGAGCTTATTGGCTTATCGCTCCCCAGCTACGTTTGCATGAGGTGATTGTTCACATCAGCTGAATTTTACATAACACCACAATTGTATGATGTTCTCCGAAGAAGAGGTACGCTCATTGTGTAAGCGGTGATGACTTTACAGCGGACCTGTTTAGTGGAACTACGTAGTCACCAGTGTTTTCATTATGAACCAACAACTCACACCGTCTATAGTATTACAGTTCTTTCGAGTCCACTTCGGATATAGGTCATCAGAACTCGTTAATAAGCGTTATCCTCCTTCTTGGTGTAATTTACCGTGAGTCCTTCTGAAGAGGGACCGTCAACCGAGCGAAGCCGAATCCCGCTTTCTGGAAGTGGTTTTCCTTCGAAAGCCACTGTACATAAATACTGACGAATACTGCGTATGTTTGATAATTGGTATGTGAATGACTGACTGGCGGTTAGTCAAAAAGCTGGAATTCCCGGGCACGGACATTTTCAGCCTATTCGAACACTGAAATCCTTCACCACTTAAGCGACAACCCAACTTTCCCAAGGTGCCCGATAGAGTTCACGTACCTTTTCCTGCGGCTAAGCCCATTGAAACGGTGTTTTTGAAACTGGCGTTAGCCTGATATCTTTCTTACCGGAAGCCTGATCCAAGTACGCCGCAACGTTCGTAATCCGCTGCTGACCAGTTTCCACTATGATATTACACTGCAATCATAAAGTTCTTATCAATCCTTATTCTGTGGCCAGAAGCTTCGTTATCAAGTCGATTTAATGAAGGCATATTTAACACTGAGGTACAGCTGCGTGCGCTAAAGTGGCTGTACCTTGATGATAATACACGTACTTCGACACTGAACGTCCTTGGGCTACTCCGGTTCGTTCATAAGCATTCAAGAACTACATACAACAGATCCACTCTAGGAGACAAAGACTCATGTCGATGATCAGTTGCATGGTGAACTAATGACGGTTACTTGGATACTGCGTGCGTGGCATCTCAAATCCGTATTTTGCTTATCGGAATGAGCGTGTTATGCGTCCACAAACGTCCACGAAAGGAAACATCTCTGTCGCCACTAATGGTTCCATTGGCATCCAACCTTGTTGTGGCGCTTAGTCTCCCATTTCCCCCTTGAGGAACTGTAGGCTAAACAGACAGCCTTATAATAACTGTACGTTGATAAACTGTCCGGAGTCACATTGAGGCACCTTTTTCCTTGTTTCAGAGGTGTTGCGTCGCCACTTGGAAAAGTACAAGCGCCTGTTTCAGCAAGCAGTGGCTCAAGCTTTCCGTCTGGATCAGGCTTTAGCGGCTCGTTTGGAGCAGCCAGCAGAGAATGTCTCAGGTATGCCTTCAGGTTTATTTCACAAGTGTTTAGAAGTACCAGGTTGTATTTTTATCACCTACAGGTTCCCGTGAAATTTCCTTCATCGTTGCGGGTCACAGCGCTGGTGTGCAAAACCATGGACGCTTTGGTAATGCTTTAGTAGAACAAACACCTCATAAGCATTTTGTTCCAGGGGCGTATACCATCGGCTTCAAGGGATTCGGTGTACGTGTACGTGGTGTCCATTCGGTGTACGTGGAATGCTTGGGTTGCGGATTATCTAGTAATGTATTCCTCAATTTAGCTGTTCTATCCCCTCTTATGATTTCCATACGGTGTTTCCCGCGTAAGACTGAGGTTTCTTAGAGTGAGTTATTGGGATCACTTCGAGCGTATGAAACTTCATAGTGTATTTATCGACCTTATCTTCCACGCAAATAGTACAGTGGTGCTATTGCCGTACCATACAGACCATGAACAATCCGTTGGATGGGAACAATCAAATATGTTTAAAGTGAACAGGCCAGCCTTTGCTTTCGAGAGCATGTTCCCCTTTGATTCGTTATAGACCGTTCGATTGTAAAGGCCCTAATATCTGGGATACCTTCATAGCACAGCTGATTGCACGACAGCTTTTATGCACCTTGGTGCCCGAGTACTGATTCAGTCTTCTCCGATCTAAATAGTCTGAGTCGCGTGTTCCATTCTCGAACATAACCGTGCAGTCCAAATTGTGTTCTTCTAACTGCTGGGATGCATTGTACATATGATGTGATATAAGGTAAATTAATGATTTTTTCAATGTTAGTTTAACTCTGCTCAGGACAATCCAGTTTACTGTCCCGGCTATTGCTACAACACCGTCGTGTGTTCCATGCCACATTGCCAAAATCTAACACTAGTAGTACGTGAAGATGCATCGATTATGAGCAAATGGTAAAATGCTCTGGTTTTTTATTTATTGAACTGTCTTCCGTTTAGCTTGCAAGCATAGCTGAACCCTTGAGAAAGTAATTTTAGCAACCTCTTACGTGGACGCTTTATCATCATCATTGAAGCATAACATCAATGTTCAACGTTGAGGCTTCGCTGCCGTACAACCTTGATTTATTTGAAAGCCTTATTGTGAAGAAAAGGATAAAGATGGACGGAGAAGGGACTTGGTGCTAGCTTACTGCAATCATTCCGAGTTGCCTACACTTTCAGACACTCATTCAGGCAATCTGGGTAGAAACTTACAACGAGAACGCCATTGACATCGACTAGCAGCCATATCTTGCAGTGTCTCCAACCAGATTCAGGCGGAACCACGCGATTCCCATTTTGGGAGGTGAATCGGAACGATGGCACCGAAACTTTTCGTGGTCTCTTTCGTAACCCTCTTCCTGATCAAAGACTGGCCACATCTCTGCTTTCGACGCATAGAATCAGGCACGAAAAACATCACTCTCTTCGGCGAACGATGTTTAGGTGTTCGCATTACTTAATCTAACCAACACAGCTTTTGGTCCTGGACACATTCTTCGATGAAAGTTCACGTTGCACGATCTGACATTCACTTCCTACTCGGATGCTTGTGGATTAGCTTCCGTTTACAATTTGATTATGAGTGTTTTGGTCTTAGAATCCGAATCGGTTCAAAAGCTAATGGGTTGTTGACTTCAATATTCATTATTAAATTAAGATTATCTTCGGGGAAGACTCAAATAAAGTCACATGTTCGAAGATCCGTGCTTTCTGTGAATTTTATTTTGTGGTACCTAGCGGTTGTAATCACTCAGTTTCCTGTACATTTCTTTGGCGATGAAAGTTCACGTTGCACGATCTGACATTCACTTCCTACTCGGATGCTTGTGGATTAGCTTCCGTTTACAATTTGATTATGAGTGTTTTGGTCTTAGAATCCGAATCGGTTCAAAAGCTAATGGGTTGTTGACTTCAATATTCATTATTAAATTAAGATTATCTTCGGGGAAGACTCAAATAAAGTCACATGTTCGAAGATCCGTGCTTTCTGTGAATTTTATTTTGTGGTACCTAGCGGTTGTAATCACTCAGTTTCCTGTACATTTCTTTGGGGTCGTTTTTATGAGCCGGTTGGACAAATGGGAATTCATTAATCTCGCACTTGGGGTTATCATTTCCCTGTTGGTTTGATTCTACTCCACAAAGTACCGTGAATGAGAAACTGTGAAGAATCAGAATTCAAGAAATGTGGACTTGGAACTTTACAAGCTCGCATCTGAGATTTTCGTTCTCTGTTTTTATTTAACGGCCATTCCTTCTTTCGACGAAGCTTTTTTTCAACAGAAACCACAGCAACGGGACATAATGAGAGTTTGGGACTCTGTTTGTATATAACTTTAACATTCCAGAAAAGCTAACATTGTAGTTCCTAGTTGACCTGAGCCTTAAGTCCATCATCCGTGATGGATTGTTTTTTAATCAGAGCTTCCTATTCATTTCAGTGCCGAAAAGTAAACAGTACCCTTATTTCCATATTTTGGCTGACTTATATATCATCGTTACCATCTATCCACCTCTGATATCGCGAAAATATTATCTCTCATTTCTATTGTTCGTTTTAAAGACATGACGGGAAGCATAGGTGAAATATCTGCCATCAGTGGTCGACATCCATCCAATACTCTAACGTCTCATGTTACCACCTGTCCATCGTGTTCCCGGGCTGTCGTTCTGAAGCAGAAGCGTAGCCCACAGCACCCGTTGTCTGAAGTACCCAGTAACGATTCCAACTTCTCTAGGTATGTTAAACGTTGTGCTCTGTTTTAGTACTTCAATGTTTATGGCGTCTTTGTACTCTTGGTATCGTTCCCGAATCTAGAAGTCGATACGTGTGTGTCGTTTTGTTGTTTAGTGCCATCACATTCTACGGACTATTTCTAGGGCTTGTCTCTTCGAAGCCATTTTCATTCCTAGCTTGTCCCCAGACGTCTTTTATGGTTTGATTCATTAGCTTCTGTTCCCAAAAGATTTATTCAATATTCTTGCTTGAACTGCAGCTGTACCGTTACCCACGGTTTCTGTTATTTACTCGCTCCCAGCCGACCGGACAGTGACCGTGCCAACTCTTGGTTTCTTTCTTGTACTGGTTATCCACTTTGTCGTTATGCTGTATGGTTCCCGGACTCCGTAGTACATGTGAGAGTAATCCATGGGGTCAGCGGACCCGAAATGTGTCCGCAATGTCGTTCAGCGCTCAACCCAGTTGATGGTTCTGCTCGAGGCCCCTTCAAGTTGGGAATTCGACTAAGTCCCAACTCACGACTTCCGAACGGATACCACCAGGATGACCCTAACAAGGAGTACGTTGATGCTATTTTCTATCCTTTGCATCTCGTTCCTCATACATTATGCTTTCATGGGTCCAATAAGTAGGGTCGAACAGACCCGAATCCGCACCATAGATGGTCAGGTTTATTTGGTCCTTACCGTACAGTCGCATTCCTACCTTGTTAAGAGGTCATAGAGTTGTTGAAAAACTTGTTATTCTCCCAAAAGAAATATAAACAACCGTGGTTCGAACCCGACCTCTGCATCTCGACTTCGTCTGTCCAGGCTTTGGAAACCTGGCAGTATCCCTGCTTGACAGCTAGGCACCGAAAGGGTGCTACAACTGAGCGATTTTTATTGTTATTTCATAATACTACAACCCAAGCCCGTGTTTTCACTCAGTCTTACTGACGGGTATTTATTTTTCAGGTACGTGATGTGTATCTTCTGCGATACTGATGTACAAATTGCACTCGGGATTCGTATCCCCCAGGTACAGACAATGCGCCCGCAGTCACCACCTGTCAATCCGCCTGATTCTCATGAGTCAAGTTCAGTCATCGGGCCAGTTCCTTTCTCTGTCACGCACAATCCTAGTGGAATTCCACGTTCTTCCATCCCTGTATCAATGTTACCCATTCAAGCGATGACACCGGCACATCAGACTTTTAGGTTTCCGTGCTCAAGTGACTTCACTTCTCGTGGCTCAACAAGGCCTACACAGAATACCCCTCCAATTGATGAAGACGCGGTTGTATGCAACTGTGGTTATCAGTCCGTTCTACTGACTGTAAAAAAACCCGGCCCAAATCAAGGTGCGTCGGCTTTACGTTCTCATATTTCGCGCTCTACCTGGACGATGTTGATATTGTCACTTTACAACTTTGGTCATACTCAAAGAAGTAGTGTTTTGAACTATGTCGTTCCCTGAACTACGTTCTTTTTTTCAGGTCGCTTATTTTACCGTTGCGGTGGTGGAGAAGCTGGCACCTGTGACTTTTTTCTATGGAAAAATCCACCTACCACAGATATTAGTGGACCACTAGCTACGAGCACTCAGCAGTAAGTTAAAAAATTCTCAAACTTTTTTTCCAAACCCGCCGTCTCACTCTCGAAGAGATCAGCGGCCATCTGATCAACAAACACTGTCTAAGAAAACTCAGCTACTTGCTTTGTTTCTTGAACTATTTCGCCAACTATATGACAGAAATCCTGGTCTCCAGTAGACATTTTCATCACTTTTCTCTCACCGTTTCATTATGTTTATTTTTTTGCAGTCCCGTGTCCGATTTCCCAGGACCGGAGGGAAACTTGGTGAGTTCACGAACTCCCACGTCGGCAGCCCCCAACGGAGCGCCTTGGTCCACTTCCGGACTAGGTCCATCAGATCCTGGTTCCACTGTTCTATGTCGTTGTGGTGAACCAGCAAAGCTGTACGTCCTATTGTTGTATGTTGTCCTTCACGTCTGGACATTCTTAGGCGAATTTGTCGTTTCTTTCTATCAGTTGTTTTTTTAACTAACAATTCCTATGTCCTCAAAAAATGGTCGCTCACGCTTTTCCTAGGTGAGAGGTTGCATTTTGACTTTGTCTTTGAGCGTAACTCGTTTACTCTCAAAATCTGTGCCACAGAAAAAAAACAGTATTTACAGAACTGTATCTTTATATCCAATCTACTCTGGCAACACTAGACAAACGGCTTTATACCACTTGTTCACATTTGGTTGCCTGATCGATATCACTCGTTAAACTCTGCATATTTTGTCTACATCAACTGATTTTGTACGTTGTTTTCCTAGACTTCGAGTGACGAAGGCTACGGCGAACCAAGGTCGTGAATTTTACGCATGTCCAAACGGCCGGTCTGGTGGGGGACCCAGTACGGGCTGCAATTTCTTTCAATGGGCTGATGCTGGAGGCAGTCGGACTCAATCCGCTGGACATCCCCTTTCCCTATCCAATTCCCCCTGGTCGTCAACCACTACAGTGCGTCGACAAACAGAATTATCTGCTTCAGACAGTGCAGTCTCCCTTGGTCATGTCCCATTATGGCCACCCCCACCATCTGCTGGTCTGCGCGGTATGTCCTGTTGTAAACAATTATGTATGCGTATTACTTCCAACACATACAAAACTTCACAGTAACCCTACCCCCTCAAGGACTCACCCGTGTTTAGAACAGAGTTTCCCATTAGCCACGATGTACCTAGATATAAGTCGCTCCTTGGCTTGTTGCATTGGCTACGTCTCCAGCCAGGCACAAGAACGACGTGAACCCGATCCTGGATGTTGATTGGCATTAGCGGCGGCCATCCTCTATGTTCGTTCTTATGTGTCAAGTCGCACTTTCGTTCCATTGTTTGTGCCGATCTTGATTCAGCGCATAAAACAGTTAGATGGTGGCCCAGCATGTGGAACTCATAACCGAACTGCTTCCACTGGGTATGTTCCTTGATAAAGATATGTTGTGCAATAGCAAAATATGTTTCTTTATCATCTTGTTTTGCATGTGTCGGTGCGAATAGACTCGGGCAGTGGTCATGAGATATCGGCTTTCGAATACCAGTACGCGCCATGATACGTAATGCCCCTCCGCCACACAACACAGTCATTCAACCATTAAGGTCGAGTTACATGCATTCTGACACCATAGAGGAAGTGGGCTAGTGAGTGCGATAGACGGTTTTTGAAACATGCACTATTCTCGTCTGACATTCTACTTTGCCTACTTATACAACTTCGGGGAAAAGTAGAATGCTTCACAGCCTCTTTTCGGGCCATAAGAGGCCTGTCTAGCACTCGAACGTCTCGAAGCATGGTCTTACACTTTACTCCAACAATTAGGATGACCAGTCAGTTTTTCTAGATGCGTTCGTGCTCTTGTTGGAACGCGTCTGCCAATGCCTGATCCTAACGATTTTTTAGGCAACCGTGTGGATTGTGGACTTTTTGAGGCCCAGTGTTTGTCTAACTTTGGCACCAGACAAAGCTTAACAAAGATAGTGTGTGTGCATCGTTGATAGGCCAAACGTTCATAGAAAAGCATCCGGACAGCTAACTGTACACCATACGGATTTGTACCGTGGTCTGGCCATGCCAATAATGAAAAACCGGCGGATAGGTAAATCGCTTCGTAGGCCGAGCCGCCTTGCTGGAAGTTAAATAGCTATTGTGGTCTGGCATGATGTGCTTCCATTTCCTCGATCTAGTCCAGCAAGTTTCTCAATCAGTGATCACTCAGTATTATCTGGTATCCGAGAAGGCGTCAACTTGAACTGCACCTAGGGCAAGCAGGAATTATCCTCCGATGCGCGATCAAGACTGAGAGCCACAGGCCGAAACACTCTCCGTCCTGGTCTTACTTGGGGATAAATACTGTAGTTAGCTGCAACGTCCAACGGACAAAACGAGTTCTGAACGCTTGCACTAGTAAGCTTTTCACTTGACATGTACATATAGCCTATCTATCCAATTTTGAACTGAGATGTTTTTTGTCCCAGGGCAACACCTTAGACAACGCGGACCATACGCTATTATGGCATCTACATAGTGCTAAATACACCAGTGAATGTCCTTACCATTGACAAACGAATGTGCACATGTAATCACAATCTTTTGGTTCCATGCTCTCAACTTTGTGGTCTTTCCGGATCCTACTTGCAGCAAGAAGTACGAGGCGAGGAGCTGGCACAACTGGACGCACAGGATCTATTACGAGTCGAAAATGTGGGTTATGTGGCGAACCAGGACATACCCGTACCCGTTGTCCACGAGCCAATTCTGTTGACTAGGTGTTTACACTGCCCAGTATATTTCCCGTGTAAAAGTTCACTGCGTTTCGTACTCCCTTGTTCATTTTTCAACTTGTACAGTTTTTTTGAGATTTATACAATCATTTTTAATGCCCTTTGAAGAGACAAGGATATGCTGAAACTGCCTACATGTTCGGTACACAATCATCTGCTTATAGAGGTACTAGGAGTAAGCGGGTCGTCTATATTATTTTTCTGCAGCAGGAAGGCGTTTTTAGCATATCCATTAACTGTGCTCCCTAGTGCACAGAAGTCTTAAATGAAAACTAGCGCCTCAGTATTGAATCACTCAAGGTAGCCATAGTTGATACTCGTCATACTTATCGGTATACAGCTTCTCATTCTGTGTGTGACCTCAATGGAAAGTGGTTCGCAAAACTTAGCACCTCGTATCGGGCACATTTGGACAAACATTCCGACTCACTAGCTTAAGTCAGCCTGTTCCGACTTATCACCTGAGAATTTTCGTTGCTAAACACCGGAAGGATCCATCCAAGTACTTTATTACAAGCATGAAATATTCGTATGCAACCTCGATAACAAAATTATATAGAACGAACAAGTGGCCGGTGAACGTATTTTGCGTTTTGAACAGACACCCTTCTGTTTAAACACGTAGTGTTCAGAAATGCCAAAATAGGTCTTTCTCCTGAGACAAACGTCTGACTTCTGGCATGAAATTTTCGGCCTCAATTCGATCGCAGTTCGGAGATTTCCCAGCAGCAGTTTTCTATTTAGGCTAATGGTTTGTCGCACTGGGCAAAGGTGGGTACAAATCGATTGGCTAGACAAAACTGATGAGAGTTCGTGCCTTTGCAACTCATTTTGAATATTAACCTTTTAGGGCGACGTTTTACTACATTGTAGTTAGTGCGCGTAGTTGGGAAGTTGCGCTACAGGTTCTTTAATCCCACTCCGGTTATGAGCGTCTTACCGGCATGTTAAGATCCTTTGTGTCCGACATGAATAATTGGAGTTCTTAGCCAGTACTACGCCGTCAAAGTTTGTGTGGGTGCCTGCAGGACCCGACAGTAAACGATCGAACAAATGTAGTCTAGTCTTTGAGTCCCAAAAGATCGGTCGTTAATTCGGCGTACGCCCCGGGGAAAACGCAAATATGGGTGAAAATAGACGCAAATGACCCAGTCCAAATTCGCACCTTTCGAAACTGCTTGGAAATTCAGTTAATCGTTCAGAAACAGTCGATAACCGGAGACAGACTGAATCACGGCCACTTCTGTTAAATTTACGCGTTCAAGCCAAGTCAGATCGCTGTTTTACGCGAGTGAGTTCGACAAGGACCACCAGCTCGTCCGAAAAGCGATTCTCTTGATTAGAGTGTTTCATTCTGTGGTAGGATAGGTTTACCCAGCAATGTGAACGGGGAAATCACACTACAGTCATGACAGTGCCTAAAACTGTTCCGAAAGAACCTCATGATTAAATGCGTGAACCTGGCCTCTCATGCGTGCTCTATACATTCTGCCTAGCTTCCTCACTGTAAACTGGGATGGTAAGACAAGTACTTTGATCCACAGCATTTTAGATCAACCTCGTACCAAATGTTTTAAGTTTCTAGTCGAATTCCCTGCCAGCTTTGACCGGTGAGGCAGCGTAGCTCATTTACCTACGTTGCGGGTACAGTCAGCCGATTTACAAACATGGTGAGCGAACGACGGCTCGCACGCCTGTGTGCATCCGCAACAACTAAAAGACGCAATCGCTGTCGTTTGATCTGGACAGGCGGAAAGGCATGGAGAATAGATAATACAGTTTAAAGGATAGTGTGATGCGAAGAGGATCAGTAAAATTCCCAACTACACAGGTCGGTTTTGAGATTGGTCGGCTATCCAGGAAGGACCAGTACTATCCAAAGGGATCCAAGATTTATGATTGGCCTCAGCTTCGAAGATATGATTGTGCGGCGAACCTTCCTTCACTCACTTCATCCAGTTCATCAATGCAGGGGAAACACGGGGTTTTCATCGGGTAAATGTCAGGACCATAAGTTGGCCAGTCCAAAATATTAATGGAACGAAACAGAACATTGGCTCTTCCAACAAACATCGTGGACCTCTGCATTGTCTTCTTCAAATGTCCCGTCCTCTGTAGTCATCGCAGAAGTTGAAATAGTAGATACGCCAAATTCTGGATACCTATTAGAACCTTGCTAACCGTTCAGCACTGCTGATCCGCTCGGACGCTCTTATGAAGCGGTCGAGTTACGACCAGGATTGTCAAGCAGTTCCCTCTAAATTAATTGCCGAGTTCATGTATTCTCTACTCTAAAAGTCGGTTATTCGTTATAATGACTCACTGCATATTGGTAACCAAAGAAACAACATAACAGGTAGAAAAAATATAACCGTGAGTTATTGGCTTTCATCTTCGGAAAATCGCAACTGGTGTGTTTGCAATTCCAGTCCTTCGGCGCTTTCTGGGAGGCACGGGAGAGAATATGGAGTCCTGACTTGCTTCAAATAGCTTTAATAGAAAAACGCAATACAGTATGTGAAAATTAGCAGTGTGCACCTGTTGTGCTGTTGGTGAATTCTTATTGGGAGAATCAATTGCTGAAGCCAATTAGATGTACACAACCCTGGATTGATGCGGGCCGGTAGTGGCCATTGTGACGTCTCATTTCCACCAAGCGCAGTTGAGATGACCTGCTCGATCTTTGACTTTACGAGCGCCCGATAACAATAGAAGTACAGTGTCACTAGTAGAATTATTCTAAAACAGTTTACAACGGAACCCATGTTAACAAAGCATGGGCCAGAAACGAGCAGTTGGATCTGCTGCGCAAGTACCAAGTGAGCTGCAAATGGACCATAGTTGTCTGCCGTTACATTTCATGCTGAGTCAACCTGATGGACGAAACTGAGTAATTATAGCTACTGATAACTGCAGTCTATACGTCGTGGCTCCTTCGACCTTAATTACCAATGCTCACATCTGCTGTCCTTTAATAAAAAAATTGTAACTATTCACTGGTCATCTTCGTTGGTGGTGTAGTCTCAAATTCCTAGAGCGTCTGTTCAACGCAAATGAAAACCTAGACACAATACTGCCGTAATAAATGGTACTTACAGTATCCTGGGTCTCATCATGTATTGCGTCTTCGAGTACTCTCTAAAAACAACGTTTGTAAGTGTCAGAAAACCAGTGATTTAGGGGAACCCAACGAAGACGAATAAAATTTCAGAAGCAGACACTCGTATGAATATAAATCATGAACACATGGTAAATTTGTAGCCGAGTGTAGAAACTTGGTCATTGTTTTGCGTGGAATTAAAAACTGAATTGCGTGCAGCACTTTTCATTGTTTCCGTCAACTTCAAATCCTATCTTAAAGTAGCGCCCACATAACATATTATAAGTCGTTGATAACCGTCAACTTGGTTCATAATCGATTAAACGAAGGAAGAAAGGTTCGAAACAACCTTATTGTTATCGACGTTCGCAATGAGGAGAATAATGGTGTTATACGTGTCCCGTTCTACTGTGTTGTTCGGGTTATGGAAATTCGGACAGGAATGAGAAGGCTGAGCAAGATGTGCTCAGTGCCACAAACTACACAAGATAATACATGCGGATTGCTGGGCTACCCAGCAGCTGTTGCAGCTGATAACACAAACTCAGGAGGTTGGTTAGCACACTAAACACTAATTGATTTATTTGGCAGACAAGAATTGAAACGCCTGGCTGTCATAAATACAACTTAACCTATGTCTTGGCTCTGTAGTTATTAGAAGTAAGGATCTTCACTTTTCATAATAAGCCAACTGTGAATACTATGCATAAATTGGCGACATCGCTCGCTAGTGAACGTAATTGCTCAGAGTACGTGTGGCATGTCCACAGATCAAGAATTTCGGAGACGAAAGCGTCTGTAAAACAGAGTAACTATTATCGTGCGGCAGGAACTGTTTGGGATGGCTTTCGACTGTGCGGTGGGCTGACATGGTACATGGCTCCGCCTCGTTAACCTCGTTTACACGTCTAGACAGGCAACCGTGACTGTCATCACTTGTTCAATATGCTAAGTGGTATTTGGATGAGCTGTATTCAATACTTGGAAAACCTCGTTTTTTTCCTGCACATACTGTGTTCACCAAGGTACCTACACCTTTTGTAGAATTTAACCCAATCAGACTTCTCTCAAAGTATCTTCTACAGAAGGTATGTCGCTCAATACTGCTAATCCAAATACAAGACTAACCGTTGAGCGCGATATGAATGGCACAAGTGACTTTGTGGATACCTAACAAATTCGCCGGGATGATGGAACATCTCGGAGGCCAGTTAACCGGAAAGGCATTTGGATTAGTCAGTGGCTCCACTCCTCTAGTTCTGTGTCGACATGCTATAAGAGATTTATTTGGAAGGCTAAATGCATGAAGAGAACAGTTTGCAAGGAGGGCACGACCACCGCAGATAATAATGATAATTGGCCCTTTTGGTGCCTAGCTGCCATGCCACCCGAAAGAAGCACGAGGGATGGGATACCGTCAGGTTGTCCATGCCTAGACAGGGAAAGTCGAGAGGCAGAGGTTGAGTTCGAACCATGGTCTTTCCGGTCAGTAAATTCGCACTCTTACCACTGAGCCTCGTCACTGCAGAACTTCAGTATACTGATGGAATATTTCACAGGAATATAGCAACATCATCAATGTCAGCTGTAATAACCGCGCACTCGTCGTAAAGAGTTACGGTTCGGTTTAACTTTTCAGTTCTAGGACTTCAGAGTTGAACTCACTGTGCTAGCTGAGCCGCAATAAGCACCTAGTAAGCTTCCAAACCTACGGCTATCTGCAGCTGGGGTTATACTATTTCGGTACGCCATCTCCAAAATCGTCTACTGTCCTCTGCCATGTAATCAGAAAGACCCGAGGGGTCACTTTCACCTAGGTGGCAGACCACATTCTGATTTAGATGAAGTAGCGTATAAGTCAATAAGTCTCATCACATTCCACTTCATATTAAGGAGCAGTTGCACTATTGACAACGGTTTCATCCGCGAAAATTCACTTATCTAGCGCTGGACATTTTTCGTTCGGGATTTTGTCCCGTAAATGAGACTGAGGAGCACTCTAAGGTTGTTTCATCCTTATCGGGAATCATCAGCAGTGCATGTCTTGCGGAATTACAGGGAGTTTTCAACCCGCGACCTCCCGGTTAGTCGTTTGAATGGATAGTCGTCCAGCCAACAAAAGCTGCTCAGCGGTGTAATTAACTCGCCCATGGACAGAATATAGCGCCAGTTATCTTGGGCATTGTGCTGCTCCGGTAGGAGGGGTGCGCATGTTGTAGAGGGCGAAGAACGGTAAGGCGCTATTGTTCGCCGATTTTTGGTTTTTATGTGGAAAACATAGATAAGTACACTGTAGGTCATTTTGTTGTCACTTTGCTGGTGTGGAATGGCAAAAACTTAAAGTATATCCCACTTGTCCGACATTTCTGTGTACTATACACGCAAAGGATACCACGAAACATGCCACGTGTGCTGTCTTCAGGTTTGAGACTCAAAACACGACAAAGATAACACTATAAAGAGCTGGAATCTCACTGACGTGGCAGAAAACTTCGATTACAACAGAAAAGGCATTCGGTGTTAAATCCAAACTGTGGGGACCGATGTCACCACTGAAATAGAATGCCGGACGTGATGCATCAGGCTATGGGTTGCTTCCAGTGGATGTAAGTTGCAAAAAGTAGACAAGTGGGGTTTGGTTGTAAAAGACTCCAATAATTTCAATTTTCTCGAAAGGAAAATAACTCACTCTTGGAGTATGCCGAACTGACCGAGGGGGAGATGATGCAGAGTGGCCCTAAAAAATGGAAAATTTAGGAGGGTATGAGAACGCCATCAGGGCACGTTTGTCACTTGAACAAGGATTTACTATGTTGTTACAGTATAGGTAACATTCACGGACGTGAATGTCTGCTGACTGAATTAGTATGTGGTACATGCATTTGTATGCTCGTAACAAGAACCGGCAGCTATTGAGTGAGCGAAAGCGGTCCTTGGTTGAACGAGTGCTTCTTTGGGAAAAGCAGACACAGGTCTGTCACTGGTGATACTGTGAGAAATACAGAGAAGGGTATTTATGACCTAACGTGATTTTACATAGTCCTGTAAATCCATTTGGATTTTCTGGTGGTGCATTCCCCAGTTTTTCGAAGTATCACACCAGTAGATGCCCACGCATTAATTTGAAACATACAGCGAAAACTTTTAGATTTCAAATAATAAATTGCATCTTAATTGAAGATGCCACTATGCAAGCTTGAACATCAGCAGCCGAAGCTTTCTGAGCCACGAACACACCAACCCTTGAATAGCGTACCTTCGTAACTGAGAGGAGATAAGACCGCCATAGATTATGCCGGTAAATTGATGTGTGGCATTTACTGGGGCGCATGCACTAACCACTGGATTCCCGAACGGTCGCTGTCATCGTCTAGTAAAAGATGCTACATCAATTTCGGGCTTAACCATAATTAAGCAAGACGGTCTGTTGGGCGTCAACTCAAATGAAGCTTGTGTGGGTGGGGAGGCAAGCTCAAAGAGCGGAGAAAGTTATTATAGCGGAGAATACCACTCAAGCCAACCCGCAAAATAAGACCCAGGACAGCGTCTGATGGTAAGCTAATAAAAATAACGTTGGAAATCTAATACAGCGGTTAGGCTGGTCATCGGCCTCTACACCTGTTGTTCATTTAACATTCTTAAATCAAACCTTGGTCTATGAGTCTAGATTCGCTCTCAGTCGATGAAGTACGTGTATGTCACTCTGTCTTGAGGCGATTTGGGGCTGCAGGTTCAGACTAACTTTTGCCAGCGTCATTTAAAGACGGTGTGCATCTTCGTGTCCTGACTTAGCAAGCATGTTTGGAACTATATGTGAACAAGACATTCCAGACAGCTGGAGGCAAGTAAACTACCATACCTCCATTCTAAAAATACATACTTAGCAACTATTCCGAGCATATAGTCATCAGGGAGACATCTGACTTCGCGCTACTAGCTTCTGTAGTGCTGAGGTGTATAACTCCAGTGAGTAATATTCCATCCGGACAGGCGTGAACTGGTCATATTTTCACACTAAGTCAAATGACTGAACACCACGACAAACTGCCGGTGAACACTACGACTTCCCTAGACCGCAAAGGAACCTCTGATTCTGTAGACAGGTACGTTGTTTTACATACGCCTCACCAGAAAATAGATGCCGCTGAATTTCGTCATTACACATCGGCTGTTTATTCCAAATTCCCCGTCATGTAAGGGTCTAACGAGCTGTACAAGCGTTTCTCCGCATCCAGTAGGGTTCGGCAAAACTGCTATTTCTCCATCTTTGCTTAGTTTTGTCATCGATATTAACACTTCACAATTTAAACCACAATGTGACTATCGTCCACACAACTGCAATCAACCAAATCGGATACAACAGCCCTCCCCAGCTCAGTGAATAAGAGATGGTGCTGGTCGAGTTGGCCAACGATCACATCGGTTTCCATAAAGATGATCCGGATAGTTGCATACTCTGGGTTACCCGCCTGTTCCTGAGACATAAAATGTGTTAGGCGACAACAGCTTGTACGCGAGATGACCAAACGTGAGTGATTTTGACTATGGAACTGTAGATAGTGGATGGGTGTAGTAATTTCTGCGTCAGAACATTCCTTTTGTTTTGGCTTTATTACTTAAAATGGTGGTGCGCCTACCCGGACCTACGTGAGCTGATCGTACATCGCGTGCTCTGCAGCCGTGAGTAGGATGTTGCAGTTCTAATAGTGGTGTGCACATCCGTCGATTCGCTACTTAAGTGACGCGCACTGCAATTGACAAGACAGATCCTGTACAAACTGCCATCGTCTGTTACTATTCGGATAGGTACGAATGTCTTACTAAGATGTCTAATTCCAAGTGATAACTCGAAAGTTAAAAGCCACATATAAAGTGGGAATTACTAGACATCACTAGACGCATGACTTTGTGCGCCGATTGTCTAAAGTTACACGATCATTCGGCTTGAGTACTCCCTTACTAATTTCAGGTTTTTTGATCCCGCTCGCAAGCTGTAGCTCGTACAGTTCGCCCAAAATTATTGGACTGTACACTTCCACGTCTCATGAACAGGCGGAGAGACCAGATTATGAAACGTGTCCAGCGGTCCCAGTCAATGTACTGGAGACCGGTATGGTGACGCGGCCATTTTATTACTCGATGAAGCAATGGCGGGGCAGTTTTGACGATGACAAATAATATTATCATCATTATCAGCTGTAATAACGGCGTACTCGTTGTACAGTGGTTTTAGCCGCCACAGTTTCCTTCACCGCCGATTTGGGGAGATGGGGTAGGTAGCAGCGCATTGAAAGCGGGAGCTGATAAATTGGTTAGCCGCCATTACTTCACCGCCGATTTGGGGAGATGGGGTAGGTAGCAGCGCATTGAAAGCGGGAGCTGATAAATTGGTGCGTAAATACATACGTATAAATGGACTGTTAAGTGGGGGGGTGGTTGGGAAGGAAGCTATGCATTGAAGGCAATAGCTTGGATGCACAAGCGCCATTGAGGGTGCGAAAGGACCATGTCTGACAAGTCTCCAATCATTGATGTGGCCCGTCTCGAAATCCCTATCCAGGAATTCGGAAATGACTAGCGCAGCTGAGTTTGCTGGTAATGGCTTTTATACTTCGCTGCCAAGTCATTATTTGACCTTCCCTGGCTCGTTTCGACCCTTCACTTGGTTGTTCGAAATGAACTCTACAAGGAAGCCTGTCGAATGGCATACACAGCACGTGGCCAAGCCAGCGCAACCGATGCAGTGTGATCAGTCCATC